TGTCAGATTTGTGTGAATCCATGATGTTGCAACCCGGTACTAATAGAATGGGCATATTCCCAGGATACATGTTTTGGGCCAAATTGAGCTACTGACCTGTAGTTGCACAACCGTACTGCGTCAACCCTTGATGCCGAATGCGAACGCTGCTCTGGCTATGACGGAGCGTTCAATACATTGACCCATAGCGGTTGATCGCTGATCTTGGTGGTTGGGCTAGTCAGGGTTATTCTAACCATAACACATCCCCGCAAAGAAAAAGTGTTAGTTGCTTTACATTATTGAGGGTCTTCTGATGCTTGGATTGTTGCAGCTGCAAGGGAAGTTGGACTGTTGCTGTCCCTTATTTGGAGCTAGGAACATTTGCTGTAGGCCATTGTTGATTTCTACGTCCACTGAATGCTCTTCGGTATTCTGTCACCTGCTGACTGGAGAGGCAAATGTCAAGTGAATGTCTGGATCATTCATAGTTGCCTGAGTACCCCTGGCTGCAAATATAATTGTCGAGTGACGGTCTCGATCATGGTTAAGTGCCGAATCTCCACTTAGCTGGACAGATAAGTGTCGGGTGAATTCCAGATCATGTGTAGCCGAGCGGCTCCAAGTTACTCATGTTTCTGTGAAAAATATACATTCCAAGTGACTGTAGAAACCGTCTTGATCCATCCCACCTCCGTCACTAGAAATATATTGTTGTTTTCCGCTGAATATACGGCTAACCTGTTGCTACCGTGCAGCTGACCGTCGCCAGATATCTGTTGTGGGTTCCCGCTGAGTGTACGGATAACCTGCCTGAATCACTTGTGCCGCCCACAACCAGTTCAACTCACCACAAAATGAAAACGCCAAGACCAGCCGCACCGAGCCATTCGGATTCGTATTGTATGGGAGCATAGTGCAATAAATAGGTTGTACGCAACTACTAACACAATATATTGGTAATGCTAATTACCATTAATTAACACAACTCAAACGGTTCAAGTTCATGGTCCAACTTACCTCTTATTCCACATAGATTCGCATTTTGATCTCTACTCGAGTTCGATCTACAATTGTAGATCGATCCAATGTTACGCCACTGTTCTCGGCTTGTACGCTGACCGTAAGCCGGCTCTCCGTAACAGATGATGACCAAGAAGTTGGTAAATGTAAAAAACCAATCTTCCCATTACTACGCTGCATCGGAAGCGTTTGGGTCCGTGTCAAAGCCTTCGGGTCGCAGACACCGATCCATTTCTAGATGATTAAAATTTTTGTGAGATTGTGTGGGATCCACCAGATAAATCTAACTTATGTCGCTTGAGAAGACCTAGATATGAGCATTAGGCTTTAATCATCTAGAAACCTCGGTATGCAAGCTACAATAGAAGAGATGTTAAGTTATAGCCTTAAATAGAATAATGACAGTTTAAAACGGCATAGAGGTAGTAACAACGTAAGAATGTAAATTCACATTATAAATGTCCCACTTCTCACTTTCGAAGTGGTTCGATTTGAGCTTTCCGTGTTGCCAGCCCGTAACCTTAAGGATAACAAGCTTGCCTTGTAATCCTAGGGCGCGGATTCGAGCCTGTGTAGGGACCGGGCGACCGTCGCTGTATCCTTAGGTCGCGTGCAATTTGTGGTGATTGCGTGGCTTCGGTAATGCGTACGGGCGTACTGCTGATGTCTTCCCTATTATCTTTTAGCGTTGAGACGGAACATTACCCATCGATCCGACGACCTACCCCTATCTTTGCTGAAAGATGGAGGTAACTTTTTGTTGACTGGACTGTCTTCTCCGTTTAACACTATTTAGGACACTAAAGAAGTGCCTTCAGACTGGTGACTGCCAATTGTCGTGCCCATTTTCAAGCAAGACCAGCGCTCTTTGTGCGTAACTTATTGAGCCATTAGGCTTGTTTCTATTACCTTCAAACTTCTCACAGGCATCAATCTTCGATGGCTTACTTGTTCTCATGAGGACGGTATTACTGAAAGCCAGGTTGGATCCCGCCTTTGTCGTGGTCGTATCGACTACATATTTACTCTTCGCCAAGTGTTTGAGCAGACACAAATACAGACGACTGACTATGGAGTTTTTCTTTGACTTGAAAACCACCTGCCACTCTTGATCGTGTCTGCTTGTAGCACTATCCGTGAAGGGAGTGCCGGCGAAACTCTTTTCCGTTATTCAATCTGTCTACCGTGATTCCCAAGGCTGCGTAAGGGTCTACGGTAAACTGTCTTCTGAGCTCCCCACGACAAGGGTTTGCTAGGCTTGTTTCACTTATCCTTTCTCTTCAACTATGTGATCGTAATGACCATGAATGACTGTTCTTTCGAACTCTACAGGTGTGGAAGTTCAGCCAGGTGATCGACTGACACTGCGCCACAGTAGCTGAGGTGTTTTCCACCTCTGGCTAACGTATATAATCATGACTGACTTACCTTGAGTGCGCGGACGACGTAGCTCTCCATGGGCTGTGTAAACACTGCTGGGTGGAATGACGCGTAGCGCTACACGATTCGACATGTGCTTTGCACCTTCAAAGTGAAAAGTGCTGTTGCAGGACTGGACCGACACACCTCCTGTTTTAGCTGTCATCGAACAGCCACTGAAAGTGGTGGATTGATTCACTTGGTAGCTGTGTCACCTCCGCGTATCACCAAGGCCCGCGTGGCATTTCGGAGGTTGAACCATTTGCGGAGAAGGCGGGATATCCGTCTGTCAGTGAAAGCTATGGTGTATAACGCTGCGATAAGGCCGGGGTTATTGTATGGATCAGACTTCGCCAGGTGGCAGTGAACGCTTGGCCGTGTTTGACCACTGGTGCTTGCGAAGTATTACTCACGTTTTGTGAGAACACCGGGTGAGTGATGCTGAGGTCCGCCAGTTGGATTTTGGCAGGATGCATTCTGGTGTCTCACTTGAGTGTTTGCTAAATCTTAACCGCTTAAGTTGGCTAGGCCATGTCCTTCATATTCCCGTTTATTGACATCTACATCAGTCATTATACACTGTGGCCACACCAAGTTGGTCGAAGCCACAAAGTGGCCAGTCATTGACACGGCATAGGGGCATGAAGAAGTTGACTGAAAGACTTGGTCAGGCGGTTGCATGTCCTCATCGATGGGAGCCTCGGGATGGTCCACGCTAACTGTTAGGTATTCTTATACATGGCGTAATCGCGCAGCCAGTGGCGTTCCTGCATTCAGTTTCTTGCATCTGGCTCTTAATTTTCCTCTCATTCTGAATAGTTTACTGTGTTACCTTTTACTTTTATCTTAGCTACATTACCTTTGCTTCCACCCCCACTATCTTCTCGTTGTTATTTCTTGTTCTTGCGATGGGAATTGTGGCAACTGGATTCACCACAGTTCAGTGCTTTTATCATATTTTTTCAACGGAACTTGAATGGCAACATAATGTTATACGCGTGCAATATGTCCGAATTTACCCTATTTGTGTCTACATTCAACAAATGTCAGAGAATTCAAGGCACCATTGAAGAAGCGTCTGTTGATGTACGATACTCAAGAGTTGACCACTTGAACTGCATCTGAAGAATTACCGTCTCGATAGTGATTTGATTGTTGCGTGACGTTTTTTTCTTAGCTAACCAGTGCGCATAATATTTTCCAAGTAAGCTTGTTCTCATCTTCTGCGAATAGAGGTTCCATGACTTTATTGTCTCGGATACCAGCCAACATGCGATGGGCAGCCAATATCACTTCAATCTTAGTGGAGCGGAATCTCATTTTAACAGCAGTGCACCGTGGGGATATTTGATAAATTGAGTTGCGGTAAAGTTACATTTAGAGTAAGTTTGAGTTTGAGGGCTTGTAATTGTAAGAATCCCAAGCTAGTTACTGAAAGTACGATTCTAAACTACTAAAAATGGTTAGGAAAATGCGTCATTTCAAAACGGCTCAGGTGGAGTAAGATGGCTCATGGCAAGTAATTCCAAGTCTGACTTCCGTTGCTAAATGAATCAGTCTGGTAAGAGCGGAGCTACCACACAGCAATGTCCCCGTTCAGTTGACTCGTCTATCGATACCATGCTAGCTGGAGTAGTCCCAAATACGTCACTTCCTAGACGAGGTCTGCGCACTTCCTGCTAGCTATCCGCATAACCGTTTCTATCTCACTCAACCACGCTTTGATTGAACTAATCCGGTGTGCAATACCGTTGCGTCCTACAGATGTCTATTATAATGTAGTTTGCGTTCCGTCTGATCGAAGTCTTCTGCTTTGTCCTGCGCTGACTACTAGCTATTTTTCCGTTTCCACTGCTTGCAGTGGTTTCGCACACTCTAGACTCTGACCTTATTATCGACCGGACCGTTGAGCTGCCACCGAGTCCAATTGAAATGAACTCAGCCATCGGTACCAATTTCCACGGTCATACCAATACGTATGTAACCTTGGATCCAGTTGCATAGGCAGAAGCGACAGAACTCTGAGTTCCCGAATTGCAAAACACGTACCGAAGTGAGACCGTACATTTAAGACCACGCGTTCACGTAGTCCGCCAACAGTTTCTATCGGTACGGACTTATTGATCTCCGGTCACCGGAATAAACACGACTTCCAAAAGTTGGGTGCGCGACAAGGCGGATTAAGCTTGTCCTTTTTCAGGAGTGATTATCGGTTAGCTTTAGGTTTTCATGAAACTTCCATTTTTAATTCGTTTGTTTTCATGTCTGTTTGCACCCTCTCGAACTTGCATATATATTTAAACTATGGTCATCGGCATAGACGATACGATGCGAAACATCCATTTACCCCACTTCATCTCATTATGCTTTCCGAGCAATTTTTTACTCTCCTCCGACACCATTCTCTTTTAAATTACCTTTTATCACGTTTTCCATCCGTGTCAATTGTATTTATGACGGAGACGCGAATCATGGCTGTCGTGGCTCGCTTTAGTCATTGTTCTTGTTTTCAATAAATTAACTTATTAATTTATCTAAAGACCTGTATTATCATCTACTAACTTGTGTGTGGACTGACATACATATTCCAGCATGCATTTGAGTGTGTCACGCTGTTAGCAAGTAACTACTTTTCAACATTGTCTTGTATGTAGTGCCTGTAGTATTTTATTTTCCACTTTAGGTACTTCAATGGCCTTTTGGAAAAAGTCTCCGCGCGAACAGACTCGCTCAAATAATCGGGAAATCCGTTCGGCTAAGCGAGATATGACGCGAGAACAGAATGAGCTGGCGAGGGAAGAGAAAAGGTTAGAGACGGAGATAAAACGCCTTGCGTCTAAAGGCGATAAACAAGGTTGTGTGGCCTTGGCAAAGCAGCTCGTCAACATCCGCAATCAGCGTACACGTGCCGCTGTGCTTGACTCGAAATTGTCCACCGTCTCTTCACAACAACGTGTTGCGGCAGCTTCGGCTACCATGACCAAGACGATTTCTTCTGCGACTGGAATAATGAAACAAATGAACAAGGTTGGTTAGCATTTATATCGATTGATCCTTATTCGTTTCCTAAATTCTCCTACTCGACACCACCCTGCGCCCATCCGCTGTCTGTGGTCGATACATGCGCCATGTACCTCTTCTGTTTTATTGCCTACGAGCTACTTAACCATCCGGGGCATGCCCGTCTTCACATCGAATTGATTCAGTTAAGGTATTTTTGTTCGCAACAGTTGGCCTACTCATCTATGTCTAGGTTGCAGTTCCCCGCTGCTCTAACATTTTCGGTGTCTAAACCGAACGGACACGTGCGCGCGATGATACATCGCGCAGACGAATCGACGGCGATGGCGGGCTTGTGACTGGTCACTCGAGCAGCTGACTAAATCCGGCGCACCCAGACGGGGTGAACAGGCCTATAACGAAACACGTCTCTTGAACCCGATGACCAACCTTGCTGACGCAGCTGGCCAAGTGATGTTCCGAGCTACTAGCGATGCTACAAGGGTCTTTAAAGAATGTTTAATGGGCTTTTGCCTTCCGGGAACATCCGCTACTTCTCCTTCCCCGCATTTCGTTAACCATCTGCGTTTACAACACACCGGTTTCGAATTATACTTGGAAACCTACCTCATTGCATTGTGTTCCATTTGTCCTCCCACATTAATTATAATAATACATATATTTCTCCTGATCCGAGAAAGTATATCTCTAGCGACTCAGATCACTTTGTACATGGGCGATATGCATATACGGAACATTGGGATATGTGATTCATTTAATAGCTATATAGCGGATGATTGAGCCGAAAGCTAGGGTTTTGAAACGTGGGTGTTTGGATCTTTTCGAGTCCCTCTTGGAGTAGATCATCGAGAGAATTTCCCAACGTGAGTACAGTTATCATGGTATTCAGGTCACAGTAACTTGAAAGCTTGTTACTGAATGTTTCAACCTTGTCACATGACCTGAGTGTGATTGGCATTTAATGCTCGTTTTAGCCTTTGATATATTATGTATATATATATATATATAATGTATATATATATATATATTATTTTTTTGCGAAACTCTCGCGTGGAGCTATGTTGCAGTTCAAGTGTAGGCAGACCAGGATAGATATTTTTGTGTAACAAGTTGTGCTTCATTCGTCGAATCCAAAATGGTTCTAGTTGAAGTTTGTTTCAATACTCTCGATAATTCATGGAAAAGTGCTCACCAATTAGATATCTAGGAAATGACCTCTGCAAGCGTTTCACAACAATTCTGCCGCTCTTTCTCACATTACCGTATATTATTCTGCAGTACTCGAGGATGTGCGGGTAATACATAAAAAGCCAAACTCGAGCATATATTGTGTGGATTTTGTTATATATATTAAACACAAATTGTCTGGCACGTGCTACTTGGTATTGGGCCTGTTCGGAGAATTTGAAGATACACGAGTGCCTAAGTCCGAGATCACTCGTTGTCAGATGTGTAAGGACGTGTTCATTCTTGTGTGTGATTGATCCTTCTGGGATGGAACAACCGTATGATATAATGCTTGATTACTTAGCCGAAAGGTTCTTCATCCACGTGTGGCACAATGCCTCAAGGGACTGTATGTCCTCTTGAATAAGCAGTAGCGTTCAGTGAAGTTCGTCACGTCGAGGCTTATAGACCATCTTGATATCGCCGGCGAATAAAATTGGCCGACCACGTTTTGCAGATGGGGTGATGTAATTGATATACAGCAAAAAGAGTGAAGGACCTGACACGCTGCCTTGTGTGACTCCACTAGTGATGGGGGATGGGGAAGAGCGTTAGCCACCTAAAGGAACAACTGGTGCCGACAACTCAGGTATGACGATAGCCAACCTACTTATGATTGCCGGCTCCCAATGGCCTCCAACTTTTGTAACAACCGTTGTGAGATACTTGGTTGAATGCTTCGTGTATGTCCAGAAATTGAATTACTACTGCATAGCCGGAATAGATAGATTCTGATATGTAGTTCAGGTTATGCATCTGATAGGTAGTGTACGATGGCTTGTCAAGAAAGCCATGATGCAGTATATTTATCAGGCCCAAAGAATTGACAAAATCCATCACTCTCCTTTTGCTAGTTTTTCAACTAACCGGCTTATTGGGACTTGTTGGGTTGGCCGGTAGTTCTCGATCTTTTGTTTGGGGCCCCCCTTGTGTCTAAAGACTTTTTTTCATTGATGTGGAAAGTGGCTAGATTGCAACCACAGGTGTATGCGATCACCAGGAGCACTTGAATGGTGGTCGTTTGAATTCCATCAGATCCTAGCTTGGAGGATAGATAGTGTTAAGCTAAATATATACTCTGCTTAAAAGGGTTTTTACTGCAACATCTGTACACAGGTACAAGGTCATCTTAGAGACTCATAGAACTAACAAAGAAGTCACTGGTTACTCTACAGATTTCAGCTGCATCACTGATTAAGTGGCGCTCACTGTCAACATTTTCAATAATCAAAGGAAAGCGGTCATTAGTTCTAAGACACAGTATTTTGGCATGGTCCCTCGCCTTGCAGATTCTCCGCAGGGCTATATGTTCATATTTTCGCCGCGTTAGCTGTGCATGTCTGACACGGGGGGTAGATTCGTGTAGTTGTAAGACATGTGAAAATGCATGAGCCTTTCTAGTCTTCTGGTCGGTTAAGTGTTCGACAGCATCATTGTAGACATGTGAGGTACGACCACATTGTGTATCAAGGAGGGCCATAGCGCAGTGGATTTGATTACATAACTGCTCCACAGTAATGTATACACTGGTAGAGATGAAGAATACATCCCAGTCAGTCATCCCACTTCAGTTCCCTGAAATCAATGCAAAATCGATAGGTACCGTCGGCCTTTTCAATCAGTAGCACGGGGGATGAATACGGACTGTGTGTTCACCTGATAATTCCTTTCGCTTCCATCTCTGCTACCTGTTTCTGTATCTCCCTCAGCGTATTCTGCGGTATTCTTCTGAAGATCGGCTTGCACTGACCTCCAGGGATTAATGATATTCGTTGTTCCATCCAGCTGCAGAATCCGTAATCATCATCTGCGTCCGTGAATAGGCGGGCATATCTGCTCAGTACACTCCGTAGTTTAGGGTCTGGCAATCAGGCAGTAACTTGACGGCACCTACTCGGTCGGCTCTCCCAGCGTTCATCTCAATCCTCTCGTTGCCTACGATTACCAAGTCGTTTCTCAGATCAATTTTGGCGCTGAGCCGTTTGAGGATGTCGTTGCCGATGATTGTTTCTGTTGTCTCCTCCACCATGAACATAGCATGGCTGATGAGCCCTTTTCCTATCCTGATTCGCGACCGCTGTATGCCCATCACCGTCAAACGATGTCCACCGACGGTCTGCATCACGATCGAGGACTGAGTTACCGGAACTCCTTCGAACCTTTTCGTAATGGACACTCCAGCTCTCGTGTCCACTATGGCCCGGACCGACACACCTTCAATAGTCACCCTGGCCACCTACTCGGCCAGGATAGAGAGCAACAATGGTACCGATTGCAGTTGGTGCAGGATCTAGCCACCTGACCCACCTGATTGCATCGAAAACAGCGGCGACCGTTCCGGCTTCTATGTTCATTGCGTTGTGAAATCGCTCTCGGAGTTTCCCTCTACAACAGCTTCTCCACTATTCTGGACGGTTAGTTTACTCCGTGTTCCATCTCGGAATGCTGGACTCTCCTCATCGTCACTTGCTCCGAAAAATACACGCAGCCGTCACCAGATCCTCCGCTCTGCTCTCTCTAATCATCGCTGCCAATTTTACATTGTCATGGAGTGAGTCTGGCAGGCTTCGCACAAATTGCTGTTTGAGTAGCCGTTCTCTTGCGTTACCCCCCAACTCGGGGAGCCCAATCGCCAGATGTCTGTCCAGCTGCTGGAAAAACATCAGCTCCTGCTGTCATCTGGCTGAATGAAATTTCTCCACTGCTCGCTGTCTATCATCTGCCTTCCAGCATTCTGCACACAATGCAGCCCTCATCTAAACGAACAAACAGCTGAAATTGACCTTCCGAGTGAGCGAATACATCGCCTTCGCTTTTCCATCCACCAGTGTACCCAGAGCAGTTAGCAACTTAGCGTCAGCTTTGAATCCGTTGCATGCGGCGATAGCCTCAAATTCACGAGCCGTGTCTCCACGTCTCTATGCGCAAATTGCGCTGGTCAGGTCGGCTTCATCCTGATTGGTTACCGCAGCAGTGCAGCGAGAACGACACGTGAGGGGGAGGAACAGAACGCGTATTGCTACAACAACGTGCAACTGACAACCCATGAACCCCTACGGATATGAATTATGTTTCCTTTCCTCGACTCAACGCGAATGAGGATTTGTATGGCGGGCCATTCTGACTGCCTATGAGGTTGAGCTTCGAAACAATCCCTCCATGTTTCCATCCCGTATCTCCGCTTCGCTAAATCCGATTCTCGCTAGCCACGAGTCATTCGAAAGTTTGCGATTTGCTCTCCTGTGGCTGCATCACTCGGCCCGCGTTCAGTCCTGTGGGTTATGCTAGCGGCGTATTTGTCTGGTTCATTGCGTTCTCGACAAATACCTCCTCCGTTGTTCTGGGCACAGGCTCGTTACCAGATGCCGCTCGTGATCCGCTGTCGGCTCGATCCGCAAGGCTCGCAGAGCCTTGTCTCGTCTCATCCATTGCGCCCGTTAGTATTTCCCTACTATCCCGTTGTTGTCTTTCCGGTTTACGAGTATTCGTTGGCTTCCGCCGCCCTACACTATGATCGAGGAATTGAAGGCGCCTCAGATCCTCAGACCGAATGAACCAAGTCTCATACTCATCCGGTAGGACGGCCCTCACCGTCCCCTCGTAAACACGGCCCTTCAAACGGAGGGGAACTCCTTTCACCAACAATGCCGCAGCATCAAAAAGGCAGTTCTGGCTTTTGCAATGCTTGAACTGACCTCAGTTTCTTGGCGCCCATCGTCGCTAATACAGCTGTCAAAGTAAGTGAATCGATCAAATACCTCGCCATCAAGGGTCCTAGG